TGTTCCTGAGCTGCAATACACACCATTTGCAGCAATGTATTGGCATAGATGTAGAACTACCTCACTGACTTCGATCACTCTAGATACTGATTTAGAATGAGCAATACAAAATTACTAAACTAAATATAATATAGTGAATAAATATAGATTGAGAAGAACAAAAACTGGAACAGGCACGAGGACCTTTCATGGCATCTGGAAAACTTCGATACCATGATAGTTTTCAGCCTGAGACAGACTAGTTTATACATAAAGGGTAATGATTTTTCCCATACAAACATATCATTTATTGACATGTACAAAGTTAGGAAGTTAGTAGTTATTTTCTTACACAACTCGTACTACCATAACGAGCGTAGCAAAGAGAATAGATGTACAATTTACCAATATATCATCACAGATCTAATGTTATCTTCCATAGACACATACAAAAATAGATGAATATGAAAATTAGGTAGAAAACACAAGAAGTATTTTATTAAGCTGTTGATGATTTTTAAAAGTCACATAACATTACATTACACAAACTTCTGTTCCTTTGCCTTGTATATTCACTGAAAGAATCCGTTTGCCGATTTTGCCAGAATTCCTATAACCAGATCTTCAAATAACAATGGAATTGGTTTCGTAAAACAATACTAGCGCTTTTATCTGATCTGAATGTTCCCGCTATAAAAATATCAATTGGCATTCGTTTCAGAAATCACTTATATTTTGAAAGCAACACACGTAGAGACCGGAATTTTCCCAAACAGATACAGACATTAAGAAGAATATATTGCTGGGTTGCTAACACGTCGTTTATGAAATGTGACCAGGACAGTAACAGTATCGGCATCAGACTTACAGCAGAATCACGATATCGATTTCATGATAACGAAGTACAGTGTATATTCTCGATAACAAAATTCACTGATGTACACTAACGGAAATTGACTCCACCGCACAGACAGATATCCAATCGGGAACACATAAAATACCTTCATTTTGCAATGTATTAAAACTATCTCAGGCACGAAAGTTTTCTTCAAGTTATGCAATGAGCGAGGAAGACAAACCACGTATATTTTTTTCATATAAATGGAAAAAAAGAGCAATAGAGACACACATCAAGCACATCACGTGGCGAAACCCTCAAGCACGCGAGAGAATTCGAGAAATGATTTTGATATACGGACAGACACAAATTTCCATCGATAGATTCTTTGGGTCACGTATATTGTAACAAAATTTAACACCTATTGTCTTCATTTTTCCCGTTGTTTTTTTTCTAAATTCTAACTTTTCCGAGCTTCATTTCTGGAGAAATTCTGAACTCTCTCTAAACTCGATCATCGAATATAAAAACCCTGCATATCTTCAAGTTTTCAATTGAATAATAGAATAAAAAAATCACGGGTAATGAGAGAAAGAAAGAAGGAAAGAACGAGATATGCATTTGATTGATATAAAAAAGGCAAAAGTTAAAGTGATATGAAAAAAAAAATCACTTCGTGCAATTTTCAACAGCATTTTTTTTCATTCTTTCACACTTACTTCAAGGACCACGCCTGTCTCGTATCACTGGAACTGCGAAGTCGTTCTAAAATATAAATATCTAAACAGAATAGATAAACACCATTTTACTCACATGCCTCACAACACGTGCAGGTTCTCACACGACTTAGTTTTGCGGTCTTTGTTCAGGAGTTTGTTCAAAATGCCCTTGACCCGAAAACTGTTTTTGTGGCGCATCCGCTGCTGGGTGGCGGTCGGCGAGCCCTCGGAGCCCGAGCCTGGCGCCTCCTGGTTCTCGCTGCTCAGGACCTTGTTCTTCAGGCGGATCTGGGGGAGGAAGCAACGGGGGGAGGGGGTTAGGGGAGGAAAGCGACTCTCTTTCGCTCGCTCTAGCTTTCTCTCTCTCTCTTTCTCTCTTTGGTTCTCTCACGCTCTCTCTCTCTCTCTCTCTCTATCTTTGGCTCTCTCACGCTCTCTCTCTCTTTGGCTCTCTCTTTCTTTCTTGCACTCACTCACTCACTCACTCACTCTCTCTCTCTCTCGCTCACTTTTTACTGTTGAATAGGAAAAAATGGCAAAATTATGTTTTTCAGCGTTTGTGTCATGATAACTATCGCCATTCAAATAATTTCCAATGTAAACACGTAAACACTTCCGAAATTATTTGTCCGCTATTGATCCACACCCTCAATACTTAGACTTCGTAGACTATACAACGCCCGCACTTCAGGCCACGGGCGCCTCCTGGAATGAAGACTGAATTAAGGGGAGTCCAGAAACCACTCTTGGAGACAGAAGCCAAAACGGCAAAAGTAAAAGAAAGAAAGAAAGAAAAAAAAAAATCAAAACATGCAAAATAGAAAGCAAAACCACGAAATGAATTACACAAATGGAAACACATGATCACAAAATCCATTAAAAAAAAAATAAACATAAAACGCAAAAAAAAAAAAAAAAAAAAACGCAAAACACTATACCCCCTAAAAAAATAAAATAAAATAAAACCCGCATAAATTTCTCCCACAAACCTCGAAAACCTCTTCTTGAAACCCGCCCACCACGCGACCCCGCCCGCCGCCCGCCGCCCACCTGGGTCAAGATGCCGACGAGCAGCTCATCCACGTTGTGGTCGATGCCGGCGCTCACTTCGATGAACTTGCACTCGTAGGTCATGGCCAGAGTGCGGCCCTCTGGGGGTCAAAGGGCAGGGGTCAGTGCGAGTTAGGAGCGACGGCGCGGAAGTTGGGTTCAGGAAGATTTTGGGGAGATTTTGGGATTTATTGATTTTGGGGGGGGGGGGTAAATTATTTGTTTTGTGTTTGATTCTTACTCTCACTGTTATTGCTTATGATTACGATTACTACCGTTCTTGTTATTACCATAAAACTTCTTTATCGCCATTATCATCTTTATCATTCTTACCATTATCATTATCATCATCATTAATCTCATTATTATTACCTTCATCACTATTGCTATCATTATTACCAGAACAATCTGCCTCTGAAATAGAATGAATAAACAAAAGTAGACAATGATGTTGAGGTAAATTTTACAGATTCGAAACCCAAGGAGCCTTACAAGGGGGTCAGAGGAGAGGAAAGGAATCTTATTTTTGGTCCCAGACAAAGACCCTACGTTACTGGTCTCAAATAAAGAATCTATCGGACTCTTTCCAAACAACAAATCTTTCTTACTGGTCCCATTCAAAGAGTCTCTTAAACTGGTCCCAAATAAAGAGAACATGTTGTATTGGTCCCAAATAAAGAAATTCTCTTGGTCCTAAAGAGGGAATCATTCTTATTAGTCTCAAAGTATCTCTCTTACAGATTCCAAATAAAGAATCTGTGTCAATGATCCCATAAAAGAATCACTTTTTAGTCCCGACAAAGACTCATTTCTAGTCCAAATAAAAACCCTTTCTGGTCCCAAACAAAGAATCCTTTCTGGTCCCAAACAAAAATTTCTGGTCCCAATCTTCTGGTCCCCAAAATCCCTTTCCGGGCCCCTACAAGACTCCCTTCCTAGCCCCCCCCCCCCCGCAACCACCTGCTCGTCGGCCCGAACTCACCCGACGTGGTGACGACCCGAGTGCGCTGCAGGTCGGTCTTGTTGGCCACGAGGATCACCGCTCTCTGAGTCACGTGACCCAACGACCACACGCGGCCCAGCACCGTCGACGCCGCCTTGAAGCTCTCGCGGTCGTTGATGGCGTACACGACCACCCAGCCGTCCGCGTGGCCCTCTCGCTGCGGGGGAGGGGGAGGGGAAGAGGAGGGGGGAGGGGTAGGGGAAGGGAAGGGGGGTGGTCAGAGGAGAGGCAATGGAAGGGGAAAGGGGAAGGGGGAAGGGGGGGGAAGGGAAGGGAGGAGGAAGGGGAGGGGAAGGGGAAGGGGAAGGGGAAGGGGAGGGGGGGAAGGGAGAGGGGGGAGGGGGGAAGAGGAGAGGGAAGGGGAGGGGGGGTCAGAGGAGAGGGAAGGGGAAGGGGAGGAGGAAGGGAAGGGGAAGGGAGGAGGAGGAGGGGAAGGGGAAAGGGGAGGAGGGGGAAGGGGGGGGAGAGGAGAGGGAGGGGGGGGGGGTCAGAAGGAGAGGAAGGGGAGGGGGAGGAGGAAGGGGAGGGAGGGGGGGGGTCAGAGGAGAGGCAATGGGAAGGGGGTGGTCAGAGGAGAGGAAGGGGAGGGGGTCAAATTTTCATAGGGGCGCGAGGGGGGGGGGGTGAGGAGAAGGACAAAAGCGGAGAGAAATTGAGAAGAATTACGATTATTTATTTTGTTGCAAATTAAACAATAATTATGATAAGTGTTATTGTCATCACGATTAATTATGAATATTACAGATATCACACCATTATGACCATCACACTTAAGATAAGCATCAACATCATCATTATCATCACAACCATTACTACTGCGATATCACTCATTCTTCCACACTCCTTTTCGGGCATTCAGATGCTTCTACCCCCCCCCCCCCCCGTGGCATTTCCCTTCGGTATGCCCCCGCGGTCGCCAAGGCATTCCACGAGATTTTCCAACCGCCACTTTTCGAAAATTTAAATCTCCGAAGATTTGCATTTTGATAGCCTGTCTCCATCGTTAAACGTCATTGTTATAGTCATCTCCATTAGCATAATGTCTGAGCTGCTATTTGATGCCATTTTTTTCTGATTGTTGATATGTCTTTATTATTTCCGTTTTTGTTGTTGCGATTTTTTTTCCGTTATTACTACTGGCGCTGTTACTACTATATACAGTTTATCTATTTTCTATCTCTGCAAAGAAAAAAGAAAATGTCAAAGTCCAGACGGGCAGTTGGCTGAAGTACGAAGTATGGTTCTTGTGCGTGACAAATTCCCGGCGAGGAAATGCTGTGCGCTCGATGCCAGGAAGACTTTTCAATTATTGAATGAAAAAAAAAAAAAAATAAATAAATAATAATAAAGACGGTACCATTCTCTCGTTATATGTTTTTTTTTTTTCATCTTCCTCTACCTGTATCTTTCTCCCCCTCACTCACATATTCTCTCACTTACTACATATAACGTACGTTTGTACATACGTCTCTTTCTCGCCGACGTGGCACGCGCAACCATAGAATAAGAAAAGGAAGATATATAACAAATAAATTACATGCAGTCACCCCCTCTCCTACGACTCTCTCCCAATCTCTCTTTCCCTTCTTTACGCCTTTCAAACGAAGGAGAATTAAGATCAATACTTCCGCCGGCAAAGGAAACCGGGCGTCACTCTCATCGGGTTATTTTTATAGCATCCGTCCACAGATGCTCATGTCCTTCGGGCGCAGGGAGAAGGCGAGGAATTCCGCCGCCCGGATGGCTCCTTCCCTGGCCCTTGGCGTGGATTGTTTAGCCGAGCCATAACCAGCCACGAATTTCAGTCAGCGTTTGCCTTCTGCCGCCACGTCACCGTCATTTCGTGATTTTTCTTTGTTTTGTGGAAATTTTTTTAAAAATTAAGACTGTATAAATGACATATACATACGAAGGTAATAAATATGAATAGTGTTCACTCACACATCCGGTAGCACGTATACGCGGCTTTCACGCTTGGAAGGACCACCTCAATGAAAGCAGCAACAAAGACTAGAAAGTAAGTTAAATGTGGCGTGCGGAGTCCGTAGAGTTACGAGATCCATCAACAACGTACTGCACAACACATTCTGCGAAATTCATGGACTATTATTCATGGTGGAAATATCCCAGTCCTCAGTTGAATAAGCAAACCTCGTAGGCTGTCATTAAAACGAAAAAAAAAAAAGTGAGAGTATTAAGCAGATGTAATCCCGGCAAACGGACACCTACAGAAGAAATTTTGTTTATTTAATATCTAGGCAAAGGATGCTTTATGTGCTTGCTCTTCCCTCCCCAACGAATCGCCAAATCATTGTTTCATTATTCCGACACAGTGGATCTTACATTATTCTAGCTATTATATTAATACGTGGCAACGCTGTCTTTCCATTAAATATGCGAGGGATAAAATTTATTTCAGTAGCAGCGCTGCACGAGCTACACATTCTATGATAAACGGATAAGAGATAAGCGGTTTTAAAACGATGAACTGGTTTTAACAATAAAAACAAATGAACAGATAAGCGTTCAGTTCTTATCTCTGTTCGCATATATTGCACAATTGCATGAACTACGATAAATACGCGTTTAGGTATGTCAACTGCGGTAGTAGACTTCAGCTGAGCTAACATTGTATCTCTGTCTGTCTCTCTCTCTCTCTCTCCACCTTCCTCTCACTCTCACTCTCTCTCAGTCTTTCTCTCTCACCCTTACTCCCTCTTAGTCGCTCTCGCTCATTCTCATTCTCACTCTCACACTCTCTCATTCACTCTCTCTTCTTCTTTCCTCCTCCTCTTCCTTTTCTTATTCTCTCATCCCCAGGTAGTTCTCGCCCCCACTACAAGAGGAGACAAGTGTCAGCACGTCGAACCCAAAGCCTCGCAGATGACCCAAGTCTTTCATAGCGACAGAAATGAAATGTGGGAAGAAGCAACAGGAAACCGATCTCCAATAAAGTCTAACTGATTTGCGATGGATTTTTTTATTTGCTGAAATACCGTAAGGAAATACATATCTAGGCAGGATAGGGAGGGGTACATCCACTCATGTATTGATGTACATGTACTAAAACTATCCATGGGTTTGTTTACATTCCTCTCTCTTTCTGTATCTATATCTGCATCTATATCTATCCCTTCATCAACATCTATATATATCCCTTCATCAACAACTATATCTGCATCTATATCTATCCCTTCATCAACATCTATATCTATATCTATATCTATCTATCTATCTATCTATCTATCTATCTATCTATATCTATATCAGTATATCTATCCATCTATATATGAAGGTATGTGTGTCCCAGAGAGGCAAGGGCCATTAGACCTCCCCCCCCCTGTCAGCCCAGCCTTCAAGCCCCTTTATGTTCCAGAATTTAAAAAAAAAAATCTGTTATTCCTTCCCCTAAGGCGGCGCGGGTACACGACCCTGATTTAATAAGAGAGCACATCAAGGGACGCCGTCAAAGCCAAGGGTTTATATAAGGTTTCGCGCAAACAGGAATGCTGCAGGAGGCTTCACACTGGATCTGAGGGCCTCGATTCGCTCGCTACAAGATCTCATTGTCTCTTGATGGGGTGAGGGGGAGGTGGGAAGGGCTGGGGAGGGATGCAGGTAAAAAGGGAGGGGTAGGGAGGTAGGGGGGAGGGGATGCGGGTAAAGGGAGAGGGGTAAGGAGGAAGGGGGAATGGGTGGGTGAGGTCAAGGAGGAAGGGGATTGGTGGGGGGAGGGTTATGGGGGGGAAGGGGGAGGGACTGCAGGCAATGAGGGGTGGGGATGGGGAGTCCAGCCCAGTGATTGTACGTTGGAAAGAGAACTTGACTGACATGATAATGGAAATGAAAAAAACAATAACGGTAATGGTAATGACAATAACAATAATAACAACAATCAATAATGATAATGATAATAATAACAACAATAGCATTGATCATGATAACAATAATAATATTAGTACCAATAACCATAATAATTATCATTACAATGACCTCAAAATTATTAGTAATGATATTGATTCACAATAATACAATGAAAAAAAAAATCCTACAAATAACACCTACATTAATAATGGCAATTGTAGAAGTAAAATGATAACACTAATCGCACTTATAATACTGAATGTAATACTTATTTTGTATAAATACCTTTACAACTGATGATACTCATGGTGAGTTTAAGGATTACTGTCAATGTTTTTATTGATATTGTATCATCATAGTGGTAACAATTATCATTATCATTTTTATTATATCTTAGCATTATCATGTTTACTATACTATTTGAAACATAATAATTAAGATGAACATCAATGTCTGTCTCATTACTTTCATTACCATACCATTGTCATAAATTTTCATCATTACCATTATCATAATTATCCTCATTACCATACAACTCAAATAACAATACGAATATCAAAGATCACCAGTAAATCTCTCCTAATCATTCATTCTGTAATCACCCTAGCTACTACTAGTATCATTATCATTAATGTTTTCATATATGAACAATAGTTCATCTGAACAGAGTTGCATGGAGGACGGTATTTCCAGTCTGTCAACAAAAAAATTAAAACAGAAGCAAGGTATCAATGTTCGTGACAAAAACTGAAGCCATCTGATTTATGGTACATTATGATAAGTATGTACCATGTTTCGAGACAGTCCAGTATGTATTGTACATAATGCATTCACGACGCAAGTTGTGAACCGCGAATGAAGCTTCGAAACTCCCCCATTGTAAACAACAACGGTATTCGATGACGGAGAGAATCCTCAGTAAAGTAATCACTTTTCTAAGGGAGACAAAACTATTACCTTATCTAGATTGAAACAACGGAGAGGATCCAGTGGCTTAATAGCCTTGGGCACAGACTGGTTGTCAGCCAAGGAAAAAAAAAGACACGGAATTCGCGGAAGGATTCGATACGATTTCTCTCGCTCGCTCTCTTTTTATAAACGAAATGTAGAGCGAGGGTCGTTGAAACCTATTGTGATTCAAGTGGAATATTCAAAACATCATTTCGGACCAAAAACGCATCATGGAGATGCCTACCATTATTCAAAAGGAAACGTTCAAAACATCGCTTAAGTGTCATAATGCATTATTAACTTAAGCTCAGTTGGTCCTTGTGAGGCCTGCTGGGCCCATCCATAATTCTGAGGTGGTTTATCAAAGGGACTTGAATTTTGGCAAAACAAAAGGCCTTTCTAAAAGCCAAAAGCGAAAATACTTCCACAAAAATATAATAACCGGATTCTTTGTGAGCAGGGTACAAGGGTGTTCAGAATACTTGCAGTATACTCTGTAAAACTGGATTTTCGATGCTCCAAAACTGAATATTTGTATAAAAATGTTCAAGTAAAAAGAAGGTGCAAGTTATTAATATTCTCTTTCTCTCGTTTACTTTTATCTATCTTTTTTTTTGTCGCAAGTGAAACGTTTATCAGTCAGTAATAAATATGAATTAAGATACCTTTATGTTAAATGTTAAAATCAGGAACTTTGAAAATAGCGAAAGAACAAGATATACTGACTAACCTGCTACGTAATCCTGAAAATCTCAGCCGTAGTCTTCCTTGGCGAGAGAGCGACTTCCCCAAAAGGAGGCAAAAGTCGGACTGGAATCTTTATGGTCGTTGCTCGAGTGTAAACAAACCCTCTGAACGCTACGACGGGCTTAAAGCTAATCTAGAATTCTCCAAATAATAGTTCTTATTGTCATAATAGATAGTCAGTTTTCTATAAATTCAATTGATTTTAAAATCTTTTCTCCACTGCTAATAATATGAATGTACTTAATACTGTAACCGTTATCTTCACTTAATATACTAAAAAAAACTAATACGCACTGTCATTTGATCCGTTTTCAACTCGACCGTTATATATAAAATATTTTAATAAAATCGTCGCAGGAATGAATATTTTATATCAGCGCTGCACACGCAGGAAATATATTGCGTTACAGAAATAAAATATATATTTTCATACAAGCTTTGCAAAGATATGAGTTTAAATTTACCAGCTCATTTAGTTTCAGAAACACGCATTTATACTCATATCTCTCAACATAAAAAGGGCCATAACAATGATGATAATACCCGTGATAGAAATGATTAATCTTTAAATTAATTCATCTGTCTATTCCATAATGAAATCAGTGCTTCAAAATCCTTCAACACACGAAGATTCCAAGTAAAACTCCAGATTAGATTTTTGTTTTCGTCTTGGCAAAGTGACAAGGAAACATGTCCCAGCATGTCCTGGCGCGCACAGCCAATGAATGAGTAAAGAGTTGCCCTCCTCAGAGGTCAAGGGTTATGTGGAATGTGCTGGTTTGACCTCATGTGGGAGTTTGTGGTATATGTTTTCACACACAAAAAAAAACTTTTCACAAAAAAAAAAAAAAAAAAAATGATGTTTTTACCTTTTTGTGATCTTGCAATAACATCCATCCTCTTTCCTCTCTATCTCTCCTCCTCTTTTACATTTTTTCTTTGCTTCTCTCCTTTGTTTTTATTTTCTCTCTGTGTGTTTTGCCTTTCTCTCTCTACGTCCAGGAAACATTTTTGTCTCATTACGTTTTTTTAAATCAATTTACCTATCATCATCATTATTTCCCTGGTGTCATCTTCGCTACGGTAGATCTGTCCTTTTCTTTGAATATATTTGTCAAACTATATTTAAATAGTACCTGATAAAGAAAGCGAAAACTAGAAAAAAAATACGTCTCCAAAAAAAAAAAAAAAAAAAAAAACGTCTACAAAAAAAAAAAAAAAAAAAAAAATGCACCAGCGTATCTTTATTATTTTTATTCCTATTCCTGACCTTCCGTGTACATATCGTTACATTCTCTTCTTTCTCGTATTATAAGCGAGGTTTAACATTTTACAACCACAACACTTCATTATTTCCACAAGATGCCGTTAGGGTCCGACTTAAAAACAAAAAAAACAAAAATTATCGGGGAAAAGTTTGGTCTTTGATATTTTCGAAGCTTAATTTCATGCACAGGAAAGTGAGAGTGTAATTTGCTGTCTCTTATCTAATTCATTTATTTACTTTATTGGGCCATCCTCCCCCCCCTTTCGAAAAAAAATCTTCTCAAACCTGATTTAAACATTGTTTTTTCACTGAAAAATGTTGAGAATATAACGAATAAAAAACACAGTCACAAAACAAAAGACATCTTACTCACAAACATCACACACATCACACACACACAAAAAAAACAAATAATCACACACACAAAACAAAACAAACAAAAAACTATCACACACAAACAAAACAAAAAACAATCACACACACAAAACGAAACAAACAAAAAAAAAACTATCACACATCACCACACACTATCACACACACACACAAAAACAATCACTCTCCCTATCACACACACACAAAAATACCCTCCCCCCTCCCCCCTCCAGCCCAGCCCCCCTCCGTCACTCACGGCGATGGCCTGCGTGATCTCCTGCAGGCGGATGAAGACGAGCTCGGCCTCCTCGCCCTCCAGGATGACCGAGACGCTCCGCTCCATCCCCCGGCCGGCCTCCTCGTTCCCTGGAGGCGAAAACACTCCTCTCATTAAGGCTGGAACGAACGGGGAAAAGCCGGTAAAGAGGCGGGTTAGCGGGAGGAGTGGAATCTTAATGGGATATTTAGTTTCTCTCGAGACGACCTTGTGGCCCGCGTGAGGGAAAAGGGGGGTCTTGGATTAGGGATGAGTTGGGTGTTGGGTGGGGGGGGGGGGGCTTGAGAGGAAGGGGGGGGGGGTTCGGGGTTCGGGTTCAGAATCATGGGTTTTCTGTTTAGGAGTTTAATGGGATATTAGTTCCTCCGGGACGACTTGTGGCCCGCGTGAGGGAAAGGGGGGTCTTGGATTATGGGATGAGTTGGGGGTGTTGGAGGGGGGGGGTGGCTTGTCCTGAGGAAGGGGCGGGGGGGGGGGTTTCAGAATCATGGGTTTTCTTGTTTAGGAGTTTTAAAATATTAGTTCCTCTCGAGACGACCTTGTGGCCCGCGTGAGGAAAAAGGGGGGGTCTTGGATTATGGGATGAGTTGGGTGTTGGGTGGGTGGGTGGGGGGGAGGCTTGGAAATGAGGAAGGGGGGGGCGGGGGCGGGGTTCAGAATCATGGGTTTTCTTGTTTAGAAGTTTTATGGATATTAGTTTCTCTCGAGACGACCTTGGGCCCGCGTGAGGGAAAAGGGGGGTCTTGGATTATGGGATGAGTTGGGTGTTGGGTGGGTGGGTGGGGGGGGGGGAGGGGTTGTCCTGAGGAAGGGGGGGGGGGGGCGGGTTCAGAATCGTGGGTTTTCTTTGTTTAGGAGTTTAATGGGATATTAGTTCCTCTCGAGACGACCTTGTGGCCCGCGTGAGGAAAAGGGGGTCTTGGCTATGGGATGAGTTGGGGGTGGGTGAGTGGGGGGGGGGGGCTTGTCCTGAGGAAGGGGCGGGGGTCGGGTTCAGAATCGTGGGGTTTTCTTGTTTATGTGTTTATTCTTATAATTATTCAAGACATCTTTAATGTTTGTTTATGTTTATTTGTCTAATTTATCTATATGTGTATAGGTTTTTACTTTGTCTGTTTACATATTCATTTATTTTATTTATCTATGTCTTTTAATTGCCTATGTATTTATATCTATCTATCTATCTATCTGTTTACTCATTTATCTATCCGATTACTCATTTATTTCTATATCTATATATTCATTCAGTTACTACGTACAAGTTTATCTATTAATTTTCTATTTATCTATTACCAACGCAATTATCTTTTTGCGCTCGTCCCCCATTGTCCTCCCAATAGACAGAACGTGCTTTCGCGGCCTTTAATCCTGCAGGATCGCAAAGCCGACTTATTTCGAAGGAGAACTAATTAAACCTCCGGAAGCCTCTCTTCGGAAGCGGAGGGAGAGAGGATTCTCATGGCGCGGCAAGGCGAACGAGCCCCCAACCAGTCTCATTAAAAAAAAGGGATAAAAAAGGGGAAAAGAAGGGAAAAAAAGGAGAAAAATGGCATGTGTGTGTGAACCGTAAACAACATGTGTAATGTGCATAATGTTTATGTTTATATAATAATTTTTAAAATATGTCATTAGTTCAGTGCGTACATACATATGGATGCACATATATGCATGCAAAAATACAAGCACACATACAGACATACATACATAATACATGGAAGCATATATACATACCTACATGCAAGCATACGTAGATACAATGCATGTATAGATGCAAATAATCACATACACTATATACTTATATAAACATATGTACAGAATATCATTATATATATATATATAATATATATATATATATATATATATATATATATATTATATATTTAATGTTGTGTGTTGTGTGTGTGTGTGTGTGTGTGTGGTGTGGTGTGTGTGTGCAGCGCTGTGTGTATGTGTGTGTGTGTGTGTGTAATAATATACATATATGTAATATACATACCTATACCTATATCTATACCCTATACCTATATCTATATCTATACTATATCTATACTATACCTATATATTATAACATGTATAATTTATACATCTCTCTCTCTCTCTCTCTCTCTCTCTCTCTATATATATATATATATATATATATATATATATATATATATATATATAATATATATATATATATGTATATATATGTGTGTGTGTATATATATAATATATATATATATATATATATATATATATAAATTATATATATATATATATATGTATATATATGTGTGTGTGTATATATATAAATATAATATATATATATATATATATATATATATATAATATATATATATGTATATATATGTGTGTGTGTATATATATATATATATATATATATATATTATATATATATATATATATATATATAAATATGTATATATATGTGTGTTGTGTATATATATATATATGATATATATATAATATATATAATATATATATATATATATATATATATATATATATATATATATATGTATAAATGTGTGTGTGTATATATATAATAATATATATATATAGGATATATAGTATCATATATATATATATATATATATATATATAATATAAGTATATCGGTAGGACCTTATCCGCGGCCCCAATAAGTGGGCGTCCGAGCGAGGCTGAACCCCAAGGGAGCCCCAAATCTCCGCAGAAGACTTGCGCCCCTCCTCCTCCTCCTCCTGCGCCGTCGGCTGCCACTCGGCTTGGTGATCCCGAAGGCAAATATTCGCGAGGATCAGGAGGGCGGAATATTTGCCTGCTAAAAGAGGTGGGGGTCTGTGGACCTTTGGCGGATGGGAGGTGGTCGAAGGGCGATGAGGGTGAGGGGGGACACGTGAGGGAAGGCCGAAGGGCGAGGGGCGTAGGGGGGGAGAGCGGAGAGGGAGATGGGGAGAGACGGGGAGGCGAGGGCAGGGGAGGGGGGTAAGGGGAAGGGGGACGGGGAGTGGAGAGGGGGAGGGGGAGGGGAAGGCGAGGGGAAGGGTGTAGGCGAGGGGCGGAGTGCCTGTGAGGGATGAGGGGGAGGTCGGTGACGGGAATAGGGGGAGTCGGTCCCAAGGACAAGATGAAAAGATAAATACTTGGAATGATGGACAGAGACGATAAAGAGGAGGGCGTGTAGAGGGAAGGAGAGGGAGACGGAGGAGGAAGAAGAGGGGGAGAGAGGAGGAGGGCAGAGAGGAGAGAGGAGAGAGGAGAGAGGGAGAGGCAGAGAGGGAGAGGAGAAGGGAGAGGGAGAGGGAGCAGCGAGGAGGGAGAGAGAGAGAGAGAGAGAGACGAGGACCATATGAGAGACATGCATAGAGAAGAGAGGAGATCGAACGAGGACGAGAGAGATGAGATGATTTGGGATGAGAAAAGAGAGAGTGAGCAGAGAAGAGAGAGAGAGAAAGACGGAGAGAGAGAAAGAGAGACAAGAGACAGAGAGAGAGAGAGAGAGAGAGAGAAAGAGAGGACAGAGAGAGGAGAAGGGAAGAGGGGGAGAGGGAGGGAGGAAGAGACAAGGAGGGAAAATCCTCAAAAGGGCAGCGATTTACTCTCCCTCTTCCCTACCTCTCCCTTCCTTCCTTCCTTTAGAATGCCAAGACTTCCTTCTTCCTTGGAAGGTATTGCTTAAAGTTTTGTTACTATTTTTTTTTTTTTTTTTCTCTGTTTTTGTTTTTTTTCTTTCCTGGCGACGCGGCGCGCCCCTGCAGGTAGGAGCAGATTTGGGACGGAGAGAGAAAGAGAAAGGAAGTTTGGTTTGTCGCTCTGGTGTGGTGGTTCCTCGCTGGGGTGGGTTTGGTGGTTTCCTATAAGTGGTTAGGTGGGGTGGGGGGTTCTTTTCTAATGATGTGACCTATGTGACATTTGTGTCGGAAATTATGAGCTGCTGAAGTGGCTGCAACC